ATTATATTCATTTTGTGGCATGGTGACGATTGCACCGTCACCAGGAGCAGCCTCCCGGACGCTAAGAAGTTGTCAACTTTCGCTAGTTTGATGTACTTTTTAAGAAGTTTGATCACTTATAAGGGAGCCAGTATAGTAGAGTAGAGAGTACAAAGGTTTCAGAACCAGACAGTTAAAATCCCAGCTCTGCCACTTGTTGGCTTTGTGTTCTTGAGTAGATTACCAACCTCTGTAGTCTCATTCTCCTCATTCATAAATGATGATTCATGCTTCATTTACTTAGCAAATATTTATTGTGCCAACTGCTATATGCTAGTCACTATTTTACACAATTAAATAAGATAAGAATTTGTAAAATTCTTGAATGTGATAGTCACCATTAAATATTACTTTCTCGGGGCCAGCAAGTCACCCGGTGTGATGGTTAAGGCACTGGACTCCCACATGGCCTACTAGCCATGGTTTGAGTCCCAGACCTGGTGGGTTAGTTTCTTGCTCCCCACACCCCACCGTCTGTCTTTCACTGGTGAGTTAAATAATAATGATGAACAAAAATAAGTAACTCTAAAAAAGAAAATTACTTTTTTTCTTTTTTCTTTTTTTCCTTTTTTAGGTGTTTGCCATAGGGCCTGTGTGCTCAACAGAGAGAGACAGTGAGTGAGAAGGAAAATGAGAAATCGCCCCCAAGCGGGAATGGCCATGTTACAATCCCTTTTCCTCCATTCTCTCCTCAGGACTTTGGGCATGCACACATATGTGCCCAGTGTGATTTTCAAGTCACCAGGTCTAGGACTCAAACTACGGTCGACCATATAGGGAGAGTTCAGCACCCTAATCACCACACCACCTGCTGACCCCAATATCATTTTTCCTTTAGACCTAGCTGCAGTAGCACAAATAGTAGGGTGCCACTATGCGAGGCTAGGCCCATGTGGGTGGTTCAGTTCCCAACCCAACCCGAACAGACCAGGCACTGCAGGCCTGTGATTCTAACTGACTAGGAGGCTGGGCAGGCAGATGATCACATGGCAAGACCTTGTCGAGAGAGTGCCCCTCTCTCTCTCTCCCTACTCCCCCTCCTCTTTCTCTTGCCTCCTCTTGTATGAGTATGTATATATGTATATAATTTTTCCTTTAAAAGTTTGCTATAGGGGGCCAGCAGGTACCATGGTGGTTAAGGGTGCTGGACTCCTACATGGCCAACCGTGGTTTGAGTCCCAGACCTGGCGGCTTGCTTTCACTCTCTCTCTCTCTCACTCTGTCCCTTTCTGGTCAAATTTAAATAAATAAATCAATAAAATAATAAAAATAATTCTTTAAAATAATTTGCTATAAAGGGCTGTATGAGTATCTCCCCATACAATTTCTGATTACAGATGAAGTCGGGAGCCCCTTACAGACGGGCAGTGGACACTGCGAATGCAAGGCTGGTGGGAAGACAGAAAATGGTTCCACCAAAACAGGCAGTAGCAGACTGCCTCCAGGAAATAGCAAAAGTAAGTATAGCTTCCAGAAATATACAGGCACATCTACATGGCCTACTAGCCATGGTTTGAGTCCCAGACCTGGTGGGTTAGTTTCTTGCTCCCCACACCCCACCGTCTGTCTTTCACTGGTGAGTTAAATAATAATGATGAACAAAAATAAGTAACTCTAAAAAAGAAAATTACTTTTTTTCTTTTTTCTTTTTTTCCTTTTTTAGGTGTTTGCCATAGGGCCTGTGTGCTCAACAGAGAGAGACAGTGAGTGAGAAGGAAAATGAGAAATCGCCCCCAAGCGGGAATGGCCATGTTACAATCCCTTTTCCTCCATTCTCTCCTCAGGACTTTGGGCATGCACACATATGTGCCCAGTGTGATTTTCAAGTCACCAGGTCTAGGACTCAAACTACGGTCGACCATATAGGGAGAGTTCAGCACCCTAATCACCACACCACCTGCTGACCCCAATATCATTTTTCCTTTAGACCTAGCTGCAGTAGCACAAATAGTAGGGTGCCACTATGCGAGGCTAGGCCCATGTGGGTGGTTCAGTTCCCAACCCAACCCGAACAGACCAGGCACTGCAGGCCTGTGATTCTAACTGACTAGGAGGCTGGGCAGGCAGATGATCACATGGCAAGACCTTGTCGAGAGAGTGCCCCTCTCTCTCTCTCCCTACTCCCCCTCCTCTTTCTCTTGCCTCCTCTTGTATGAGTATGTATATATGTATATAATTTTTCCTTTAAAAGTTTGCTATAGGGGGCCAGCAGGTACCATGGTGGTTAAGGGTGCTGGACTCCTACATGGCCAACCGTGGTTTGAGTCCCAGACCTGGCGGCTTGCTTTCACTCTCTCTCTCTCTCACTCTGTCCCTTTCTGGTCAAATTTAAATACATAAATCAATAAAATAATAAAAATAATTCTTTAAAATAATTTGCTATAAAGGGCTGTATGAGTATCTCCCCATACAATTTCTGATTACAGATGAAGTCGGGAGCCCCTTACAGACGGGCAGTGGACACTGCGAATGCAAGGCTGGTGGGAAGACAGAAAATGGTTCCACCAAAACAGGCAGTAGCAGACTGCCTCCAGGAAATAGCAAAAGTAAGTATAGCTTCCAGAAATATACAGGCACATCTACAGACAGTAGATTAGTAGTTGCCTAGGGGTTCAGGGTAAGTGGGGAATGGGAAATACGAGTGGTATAGGGTTTCTTTTGGGGATGATGGAGTGTTCTAAAATTGATTGTGGTAATTACACAATTAAATATACTAAAAAGCATTGAATCATACATCTTAAGTGGGCAAATTGTATGGTAGTTGAATTATATCCCAATACAGCTATTATTAACCCAAAAAAAGTAATTTCAGCTTATCCTGTGTGACTCTCATCTTCATGTGAGACTCATACCGTGCCTCAGAAGCAAGACTTGATCTTAGCCTGTGACTCATTGAGTATACCCTGTGCTCTTCTGGTCTCTCACTGATGAGCCATTGTCTTTTTTAAACAGCAAAGGCAGAAGATGTGAAGAGAGTCCGGGAGACGGGGCTACACCTGATGCGTCGAGCACTGGCAGTGCTCCAGATCTTTGCTGTTAGCCAGTTTGGTTGTGCCACAGGCCAGATCCCTCAAACGCTATGGCAGAGGGACCAGGCTGACAGAGACTACTCTCCCTTACTGAAGAGGCTGGAGGTATCAGTAGACAGAGTGAAGCAGCTGGCCTTGAGGCACCAGCCTCATGACCACGTCATCACCTCTGCCAACCTCCAGGACCTCTCTCCAGGTGGCAAAGACGAGCTGACCCTGGCTGTGCGGAAGGAGCTGACAGTGGCTGTGCGGGACCTGCTGGCCCATGGACTATATGCCTCCTCCCCGGGGATGAGCCTTGTCATGGCCCCCATCGCTTGTTTGCTGCCAGCCTTTTCCTCGGCCCCTGAAGCCATGCACCCCTGGGAGCTCTTTGTAAAGTACTACCATGCTAAAAATGGCCGAGCTTATGTGGAATCCCCAGCCCGTAAGCTGTCCCAGTCCTTTGCCCTGCCTGTTATGGGAGGCACTATTGTGACCCCCAAACAGAGCCTCCTGACAGCCATCCACATGGTGCTGACAGAGCACGACCCTTTTAAGCGCAGTGCAGACTCGGAGCTGAAGGCCTTGGTGTGCATGGCACTGAATGAGCAGCGCCTGGTGTCCTGGGTGAACCTCATCTGCAAGTCAGGATCACTCATCGAGCCCCACTACCAGCCCTGGAGCTACATGGCACACACAGGCTTTGAGAGTGCCCTCAACCTGCTCAGTCGCCTCAGCAGCCTCAAGTTCAGCCTCCCTGTAGACCTGGCCGTGCGCCAGCTCAAGAACATCAAAGATGCCTTTTGATGAGAAAGTGTTCCCCCTAGACCAGTGCCTTGCTCCGTAGGGATAGGTGTGTGTCTTTTTAGAATAGGAGCAAGGAGCTGGAAGAAGGGTTAAAGACCTAGACCCTGCTTGGGTGGTCAGCCAAATGAGCGCATTCTGTTTTCTTCACCAACTTAGCATCTCAAAAAGATGAGCCAGAGGCTCCCCTTACAAGGTTCTGCCCTAGTACACACCATGTATGCGTGAGCACACGTGCATAGCCTATGTTAAAGGAATGGATCATGGCACATAGTTACTGCCACGTCATGCCACCTCTGGTATTTTGAAAACTTGGATTTTTCTAATTTTTCTAACCATTCTCTATGACAGTGAATGACAACATGAGTAAGTTGTCACAGGTGGCCGAATTGGCATCTGTCATCCTTCATTTGAAGCAGGTTTGAGAGTCCAGAGGCCAGAATTTTAATTCTTTTTATGAATCTTGATTCCCCTTTCTTCCTGACCCCAGAGTCAAGAAAGACTGTATATGTCATGACTGCCTCTAAACAGGTGGCAGTCAGTCTGGGGCTTCTGTTAGTCGAACTGGCATCTGTCATCCTTCATTTGAAGCAGGTTTGAGAGTCCAGAGGCCAGAATTTTAATTCTTTTTATGAATCTTGATTCCCCTTTCTTCCTGACCCCAGAGTCAAGAAAGACTGTATATGTCATGACTGCCTCTAAAATTAGGAGTGGAAATACATAAGAACATTTCTAAAGAAGTTGACCACAGGTTCATACTTAAACAAGCTCTTTCCTTGAGGAAGGTAGGAGGTGAAATCTGACAAGGTAGTCATCTCCTGGCACAGGAATGAAAACTGAGGTGTTGTACTATGTCCTCTGGCAAGTAAACTTTCCTTTGTGTGCCTCCCAACAAAAGTGACAGTCATTTTAGAATTCAATGTACTTAAGATGCACTTCTCAAGAATCCTTTCCTCTCAGTTGGGTATTCGCAGGAATCCCATCTGGTAGCCAACAGCAACTGGTGGGCTGTGGCTTGCCACACTTGTCCTGGGGGCTGGATGGACGAGGTCTGAACTTGGAATAGGTACTACACCAGGAATAGGTATTGGGGGGTGGGTAGGAGTGTTGGGAGGTCGCTGTTTACAGACCTAGGGGCTGAGTATTTCAATACAGAACTGACCCCAGAGTGGTCCTGTTTGGTCTTCAGTATTTCAGCCTTTTCTGTTCACATTTGTTATTCAACCTGTGGTGGGTTCTGCTCCTGAACTTACCAAAGATGGGTGGAATTTATCACTCAGAACACTACCGGCCCTCCTTGTTTTCATGTCTTAAATTGCCAGCTGCACTTTGTTTCTGCACTTTACGGTAGTGCGTTTTAACTTTAATGTTTTCAGCAACATGTTACTTATTTAAGATACATTGTTGATATTTCATTAGAATTATTCTCCCTGTGAATCAAGTGTGGAATGTTGTGGAAAATGATATACCTGTGGTTACTAATAAAATAATAGTATTTTGTGTAGATTCTCTACGATGACAACTTACCCTCTGCTTTGGTTTCTTTTTTTTTTTTTTTTAAGAATTATTTTCTATTTAACTTTATTTATTATTATTTTCCAGTTTAATCAGAGAGAGAGAGGGAGGGAAAGTGAGAAAGCAAGCCATCAGGTCCAGGACTTGAACCACGTTTCAGAGTCCAGTGCCTTTAACCACTTCACCACCTGCTGGCCCCCCTCTGCTTTGGTTCTAAGTCTGTCGCCCTTATGAGCCCATCTGATTCAGATCGATATTTCTTTAAAAACTTTTTCTCCCCTGTGCCCTGGATCAACTCCACTTGAGTGGTAGTGTTTTGATTTTATTTTTTTTTAATTTGCTAGGGTGTGCATGTGCTCACTGGAGGAAGAGAGCGAATGAGAACACCCCCTCAGAGTGATGGCCATTCTACAGTCTCTTCATTTTTGGGATTTGGGGCATACACGTACTGACTTCCAGTGTGTTTTTCTTTTTCTGAGAGGTTTTTGCTATAGGGCGCATTCACTTGCCAGAAAGAGAGACAGAGAGCGAGAAATCACACACACACACACCCTGGGGGGATGGCCACACCGCAATCCCTTCTCCATTCTCCTCTCGGGATCTTGGGCATGTATGCACATGTTCCCGGCATGAGTTTAAGGCACCGGATCTGGGACTCGAACCACGGTCAACTACATGGGAGTACAGCTACATAGCCGTTAACGCCAACTGCTGGTCCCGCCCAGTGTGTTTTTCAAGGCTCTGGGACTTGAACTGCTGTAGTCAGCCATGCGGAGTCCAGCTGCCTTAATCACCAGCTGGCCCTGTATTGTCTTTTTCTAATCCTCACAAAAAACTAGTTTGCCTTAAGGCTATGTGCTAACATTACAAAAAGTATTTGTGCATCATTCTAATTCTTACTACTGAAGTGGGACAGTATTTATTTTATTGTATTTATTTTAATTGCCAGAGGTTGCGTGCAGTCACCAGAGAGGGAGAAAGCACTCCTCACTGAGTTGTGATCCTGCCACAATCCATCCTCCACTTCTCCATCTTGTCAGGATTTGGGGCAAGCACGCACACATACCCAGCATTTTTCAAGCCTCTAGGGTTGGAATTCAAAATGTCGCCAGCCACATGGGATGCAGTTCCCTAATCAGTTGGCTACCCCACCCCCACGTTACAGTGGAGAAAAAAATGACACTGCAGAGAGGTTTGCGCAGGTTTATCCTTTGTTGGAAGAGCTGCGATTTGAACTCAGGTTGGCTGAACTCAAAGCCATGGTCTTTATACTCTATCATGCTACCTCATTGTATCATGTTCTTTGTGAATGTTTTGTTCCTCTCCATTATCCACCACCTCACTCCCTCCTCAACTTTGGGTGGGAGAAGGTATTTTCCCACCTGTCAGAAATTTCAGTTGCCAAAGGACTGGTTAGAGGGACATGAGCAGACAGCCATTGCTCTGCCAAGTTTTTCATGAAACCTAAAGGTGTGTGTCAGCTGAGACAATCCTGGCAGCCTCCTACAGTCAGGTATCTTCTAGGAACAGATCTCACCTGCATTAGAACTGAGATCCTTATCACGGGCTTGGGGTGAGACAGGACAAGTGAAGAGAGGTGGAACAGTCAACGCAGGTCTAAGAATTTGCACGCATGGGAGCCAGCAGGTGGCATGGTGGTTAAGGCATTGGACAGAATGGCTGACTACGGTTTGAGTCCCAGACCAGTGGCTTGGTTTCTCACTTTCTCTTTCTCTCTCTTACTTTCTGGTGAATTAAAAAATAGTGATGGTAATAAAATCATTCTAAAAAAAAAAAAAAGCTAGCTAGACCTGGGCACAGGTACTAGATTTGAATAGTATCTATGCCACTGATTAGATCAACATCAGATAATTTATACACTTGAATTGCAGTTTCCTCACGTTTGAATGGAAAGGAAACACCCACGATGCAGTTTGTGGGGAAGTAAAGAGGCTGTTGACATATGGAGTGCTAGCATCTTGCCTAGCACAGGTAGGTGCTCAGTGTGGTGGCACAGCCAATAGTATGAGCTCAGGAATTGGACTGTTTGAGTCTGAGTCCCAGTTCCGCTATTTATTCACTATAAACTTTGGGAATATTATAGTTTCTTCAACTGCAGAACAGAGATAATAATAGTACCTTTCTCCTTGTGCTGTTATAGGAATTAAGTCATAACAGGGGCCGGCAGTGATTAGAGGTGCTGGACTCACATGGCCAACTGCAGTTCAAGTCCTGGACCTGACGGCTCGCTCTCACGCACGCTCTCTCTGTACCCCTCTGGTCAAAATAAATAAATTAATTAATTAAATTAAAAAGTCATAACATTGTAAATATTATAGATGAACTTGCCTGGCACAGGGTAAGCAGCTAGTATTATCATCACCCTCCTTCATTGGACTTGAAATGTTTTGGGGCAAGTACCCTTGTTAGATTTTTCCTTTCCTTTTGCCTAACAGTGCAAGGCAAAAAATAAAATTTCAGACTGTGTTCCCCTCCTAGCGGCAGAGAAGGGAACTGCAACAAAGAACCGCAGAGCACAGACTGAGCTCAGGCACACCTACTTGCACTACCGTACACCGAAGATAGGACTCCTTTGTTCTGTCTACTGCTAGAGCTACTAATAAAGTTTGATTCAAATAAACGAGCTGCCAAGTCCCACTTTCCCCTTACGAGCTTCTTCCGCCCGCAATAGATTCTGAGCGCCACAAACGTAGCGTGACGAAAGATGAGGGGCGGGGCCGGAAGTGAGATCACCCTTCCGTTGGGGTGAAAGGTTAAGCGGATGTAGCCGTCTTTCCTTTCCGTAGGCCCTGGTGGTTGCTGTCGGTGAGTAGAACGTAAGGCAGGGTCTTCTAATCCACCGCCATCCGCGGCCTGGGGTTCGAGTCGCGGCGGGATGTCGGGTGGTTTCCCTTTCTAGGTCTGTGGTGGCTTCATTGAGGATTCTGTCCTGCAAGCAGAGCCGGCCGGATCCCCTGGACCGAGACTGTAGGGAACAGAAGTTCTGAGCCCCAGAGCTGGGCTTACGGGCAGGAGTCGACCGAGGGCGGCTTTAACTTTACCAACTTGTAAGCGGCCCTTTCTTCTTGCTCTCTGCAGAAATGGGCAAGTTCATGAAACCCGGGAAAGTGGTGCTGGTGCTGGCCGGACGCTACTCCGGACGCAAAGCCGTCATCGTGAAGGTACCAGCCTCGCGGGCCTCTATGCCTTTTTATCCTGGGGCCGAGCCGGCTGCGGCAGGCGGGCGGGCTTGGAATCCAGAACCCACTTCTGGGGCAGCAACTACTGAGCACGATGGGGGGAAATGGTGAATGCATGAGGATATTTGAGAAAGAAAGGTGCAAAATATACAGATTGAGTGAGCACTTAACGTCAATGTTTTCCACCAGAGGCTTTAAATACTGCATTAGCAATGGTGGCAACTTTTCCTGAATGCTTGATAGCTGCTGGGGTTATCGTGCAGTCCTTGCAGTAACATGGGGGTTGCCTTCCACCGCAGAGGCCTAAAGGTGTGTTCAGTGATTTACCCGAGGTCCGACAGGTAGTAGGTGCAGAAGCTGGCATTGACTTGAAGGAATTGCTTTTAGTCAGAATGGTCTCCTGCGTATTCCAGCCCGTCACTGTTTGCCTCTTACCTACGTTTTTGTACCTCTTGGGAGATTTCCCTAGGCTCTGACTACGTACCCCACAGATTTTGACTGATGTAGGGACCCCTTCCCCTTTTCCCGTTTGCCTGAGAAAGGTCTCAGAGGTTAGGCCGGTGGTGTTGTAATTCTGGCTCTGCCCTTTATTTTTTGTGTAATCACTGAGGAAGTTAAAAGATGAAAAGTTTTAAGGGCTGGTATTAACTCTCAGGATCTTCCAAGAGCCTTCCTGGTGGGAATAGAGGCCATCCTGTTACTCTTAGGCATCAAATAAAGTGTTTGTGACTTTTCTCTATATACAATACTAGGGTCTTGGAAAGCTGAGGGAGAGCATACTCTTTCTGTGCATGCCCTTGATGTTATCAACAAGGGCCCCAAATAAGCCCTCCATTAATAACCAATGAAATTCTTACTCATTTAGAACATTGATGATGGCACCTCAGATCGCCCCTACAGCCATGCTCTTGTGGCTGGAATTGACCGCTATCCCCGCAAAGTGACAGCTGCCATGGGCAAGAAGAAAATCGCCAAGAGGTCAAAGATCAAGTCTTTTGTGAAGGTTTATAACTACAATCACCTCATGCCCACAAGGTGAGCATTTCAACAATGGGAAGGGAAGTGAATTTTTTCTTTCTCCCAACTATGAGACAAATTAGGAGCCATTCCAGTACCAGGAAGTGATGTCATTTCCACTTTGTCAACTTATGGAGTGACCGTCGTTTCCATCCTTGCCTCATTTCGTCCATGTGGGAGTCCTGTTCTTGGTTTGTTTGTTTTTAACTTGGCTTGAAAACTCTTAGGGCCAACCCTGTATCCTAGTGGTTAAGGAAGCTGGATTCCACAGGGCTGACCATGTTTTGAATATTAGCCACTGCGGTTTGAAAAACACCAGGTACGGGGGCCCACAGGTGGCATGGTTAAGGATGCTGGACTCTCATGGCCATCCACGGTTCGAGTCTCGGAACTGGTGGCTAATGATGATGATAAGTAAAGTTGAATGAAATAATTCTTTAAGAAAAAAGAAAAACACCAGGTATGGTGCACGTACCAAGACCTGACCACACCTCATTGTAGGGTGCTTTCTTCCTCTTCAGTGACCTGATCTGCCCTCTGGCCATAAAAAGGAAAAACAACTTTTTTTAAGAGGTTTTTACTTAGGGTACGTACACTCTCTCAAGAGAAAGACAGTGAGGGGGAAGGTGAGAAGTCATCCCACCGGAGGGATGGTCATGCTGCTTTACTTTCTCCTGGAATTGGGCATACACACATACATACCTGGTATTCACTTGAAGTCACCAAGTCTAGGACTCAAACCTCAAATCAGCTATGTGAAAGTCCAGCAACAACCACTATACCATCTGCTGGCCCAGGAAAATAACTTTTCAAAATCATTGGGTAGAGATTGTTAAATTTGTCTTCCATCCATAGTAAATGCGTAAGGTCCTGTCTGCCCTCAAATATAATTGCTATAGGCTTTCAGAAGTGGTGGATACATGAGTGAATGCAAACCCCCCTCCTCCAATTAACTTTGCTCAGTTGCTGAGCTCCCTTATACTATCTTAGTACAGGTTACAAAGCCAAGATCAAGAATTAGAAGTGTGTGAATGGTAATGGCCAGAACCCAGTAGCATGTGCCTTAAGTTTACTGCTGACACTGGGCATTTACTCTTGGTTTGCTGGCCAAAGACAGAAGAGCGTAACTCAGGTGCAGTGATGTGGTGAGACTGAAGCATCTAGCTGCCCAGCCTTGGCAGTGTCATAATGAGACTAACTGAATAGGCAGAATTTGAAGAACACTAAGTAGAATGCCTCTAGATAGAAAGCTAGCCAACTACTGGGCTGCCAGGTGGCGTGGTGGTTAAGGGTGCTGAGCTCCCACATGGCCAACCATGGTTCAAGTCCTGGACTTGGCAACTTGCTTGCTCGTTTGCACACGCATGCTCTCTCTCTCCCTTCCTCCCTCTCCCTCACTTCCTCTCTAGTCAAATATAAATAAATAAATCTTTAAAAAAAAAAATCTGGTCTTAACAGCTGTTTAAAAAAAGAAAGCAAGCCAGTTGCCATAATGGAAGTAAAGAAAGGCTAGATAATTCTTAGCCAGAAAAAGAGCATGTCTTGTGGGTAATTGGGAACGAGTTGCAAGATTTTTCAATAGCTGAGGTCTGTAGAAGTGAATGTAAAAATGGGGGATTTCCAAAGAATGACAGCACTTTTGATAATTCCTCTGGAATCAGACCCTGACATGCAGTGTTCTAGGAGGACTTGTGCTGTGGCGTGATCCAGGCAGCAAGTGGGCTGACCTTCCTGTCTCTCAACCACTGTCGCTAGGTACTCTGTGGATATTCCCTTGGACAAAACTGTGGTCAACAAGGATGTCTTCAGAGACCCTGCTCTTAAACGCAAGGCCCGGCGGGAGGCAAAGGTCAAGTTTGAAGAGAGGTAAGTAGACGTTGGTAATGGATGTTGAGGTAGTTTCACTGTTCTCCCATGAAAAGAATTTTGTCTTCACATTCATCTCATTGGTGGTCTTTTTCTTTTTTTCTAGGTACAAGACAGGCAAGAATAAGTGGTTCTTCCAGAAACTGCGGTTTTAGATGTTTTATGTTTCAGTCATTAAAAAGGTGGAAAAAAAAATTGCCTGCCTGCTGCATGTGTTATCAGACTAGGGAAAGGAGGGCATTCATAAGATAAAAACAATAGGTGGTAGGTGTCGGAAAATAGAAAAGTTAAATTTGCTTTTCTAAGACTTTAACCTCTTTCCTCAGTGGGTAAAGTATGATGAGCTGAAATATTGTCCGAAAGGGCTGCTACTGGTAATTGCTAGAGGGTGTGTGTATACTACAGAGGGAGAGAGAAAACTCCCCAGTGGACAGTAGTCAAGCCACAGTCCCTTCTCCATCTCCATCTCTCTATCCTGTTAGGATTTTGGGTATATATACACATGGACCTGGGGTGGGGTGTTTTCAAGACACCAGAGCCAGTATTCAAACCTGGTGGGTCATGTGGGGTTTAGCTCTTTTTACCACTAGGTTATTGGGCCAGCCCCTGACTTTGGGTAAGGTTATTTGCAGAGGTTTGTTTCCTTTTGCCTTAGAGCACATGCCCCTTGCAGGAGAGTCAGACAGACAGTGAGAGGGAAAATAAATCATTCCCAGCACCAGCAGTTGGCGTAATGGCTATGTCGCTAGACTCCCATGTAGTCTACCACAGTTCGAGTTCCGGACCTGGCAGATGGGCACATGTGCGTGTGTGCCCAGGATCCTGAGAGAAGAGTGAAGAAGGGATTGCAGAGTGGCCATTCGCTCTGCATGAGTCCCAAGCTGTGGGTCCAGGACTCAAACTGCAGTCAGCCATGTGGGAATCCAGCAGCATAACTGCTATACCATCTGTTGACCCTAGGTGAGGTTATTTCTTGACCCAAATTGTTTAGTGTTCTGGTCTTGTTGCCCCTTTTTTTTTGGAGAGGTTTTCGCTATAGGGCGCATGTGCTCGCCAGACAGAGACATAGAGATGGCGAGAAATCACTCAGGGGGGATGGTCACGCCGCAATCCTTTCTCCTCCATTCTCCTCTCGGGATCTTGGGCACGCACGCATATGTGCCCGGTGTGTTTTAAGCCACCCGGTCCAGGACGCGAACCGTGGTCGACTACATGAGAGTCCAGCGACATAGCCATTACGCTAACTGCTGGTTCCCTAACTAGATTTTTTTTGAATTTTATTCATTTATTTTAATTTGATCAGAGAGAGAGACAGAGAGGGAAAGTGAGAAAGCAAGCAACCAGGTCCAGTCCTCAAACCGCGGTCGGCCATGTGGGAGTGAGTGTTCAGCACTTTAACCACCACATCATCTGCTGGTCCCCCCTAGCTAGATATTTAACTGTGACCCCCCCCCTTTAAAAAATAAAAAAAGTTTTGCTATAGGGAGCAGGTGCTCACTAGGGAGAAAATGAGAATTTTCTGCCCTTTTTCCCACAAGGGGTATGGCCATGCCACAATCCCTTCTCAAGATCTTAGGCACATAACTTTTTGGAGAGGTTTTAATTATAGGGCATGTGCGCTTGCCTGAAAGCGAGAAATCACCCCCTAGAGGAGATGACCACACTGCAATCCTTTCTCCATTCTCTCAGGATCTTAAGCGCACGCACACACAAGCACACGCCCAGCGTGAGTTTAAGCTGCCAGGTCTGAGACTTGAGCCGCTGTTGACTACGTGGGAGTCTAGTGACAGAGCCATTATACCAACTGCTTGTCCTGTGCGTGCACAGTTTTTAAGCCACCAGGTCCTAGACTCAAACCTTGCTCTTAGTCATGTGGGATCCAGCTACCTTAACCTCTATGCCACCTGCTGGCTCTGTGACCCTGCTTGTGAAGGGACTAGCTGAACTGGTTCCAAGTCACTAGCAGGAACTAAGATTTACACAAGCTTGTTTGCCCTCCAATCTTGGCACCACACTTCACCCCATCTGAGATGGGAGGAAGGAGTTGAGAAACCCTAGGTAACAACAGTGGAAAAAACTGGGCTAGGTAAGGAGTAGAAAACGATACACACTGTTATATATGAGGGTACTTTAAAAATTTAATGGAAAATTGGGCCAGCAAGTGGTGGGGAGGTTAAGGTGCTAGATCCCACATGTGCGTGGCTGCCCAAACTACTGAGAGGAGACAAGAGGACTGATGCATCGCCACCTCCCTGAGTGCTTATTCAGAGGCAAAAATGGAATTGAGGGGCTGGCAGGTGGCATGGTGGTTGAGGGCACTGGGCTCCCACATGGCTGGCTGCAGTTCGTGTCTCGTACCTGGCGGCTTACTTTCTCTTTCTGTCTCTGGTCAAATGCGTAAAGTTAAATAATACTTTTTTTAAAGTGGAATTGAATCAGCAGATGGCATAGCAGTTACATTGCTCCAACATAGATGACCAAGTTCAAGTCCCAGGCCTATAGGGTTGAAACTCAGGCCAGGTATGTGTGTATGTGTGCCCAAAATCTAAAGAGGGTAGAGAAGGGATCATGACATGGCCATCCCTCCAGAGGATGATTTCTCGCTTTTTTTTTCTTGAGAGATTTTTGTCAGGGTACAGTGTGCTCACTGGAGAGAGAGACAAAAGTGACAATCACCCCCTGGAGTGATGGCCACGGTGCAATCCTTTCTCCATTCTCATGGAATCTTAAGCAGGCACTACACATACCCAGTGTAAATTTTAAGCGAAGAGGTCCAGAACTCAACCACGGTCTCCTATATGGGAGTCCAACTATGCTATCTACTGGTCCTGGTTTTTTGTTTTCTGTTTCTGGCAAGCACAGGTGCCCTAAAGCAAAATCGTAAAAAAAAAAAAAATTGGACCAGCAGGTAGGTAGTGTAGTGGTTAAGGCACTAGACTCAGACATTGTTGACCATGGTTCCAGTCGGAGATCACAGGCTTGAAACATCAGGCGTGTGCACGCATGCCCAAAATCCCAAAAGGAGAATGGAGAAGGGGTTGCTCTGTGGCCATCCACCTGGGGGATGATTTCTGTCTCTGGCAAGCGTACACACCCTATAGCCAAAAAAGAGGTCAGAAAAAAATAAAAATGGAATTGAGCCTTTGATTAAAAATTTAGCACTTTGCAGGACTAGCAGTTGGCATAGTGGCTATGTCGCTGGAGTCCCATGTGTTCAACCACGGTTCAAGTCCCGGACCCAGCGGCTTAAATTCACTCCAGGCATGTGTGCGTGCATGCTCAAGATCTCGAGAGGAGAGTGGAGGAGAACGGATTGTGGCATGGCCATCTCCCCTGGGAAGTGATTTCTTGCTTTCTGTGTCTCTGTCTTTCTGGGGAGTGCATGTGCCCTATAGCAAAAACCTCTCCAAAAACAAAAAATAGCACTTTCAGGACCAGAAGATGGCATATAGTTATGTCACTGGATTCTCATGTAGTCGGCTGCGGTTTGAGTCTCAAACCCGGCGGCTTAAAACTCAGGCAGGGCAGGTCAACGGGTGGTATGTTTTTTTTTTTTTAGAGGTTTTTGCTATAGGGCGCGTACACTCGCCAGACAGAGAGAGAGACAGAAAGCGAGAAATCACCCCCCAGGGGGGATGGCCACATCACAATGACGGACGCGAACCGTGGTCTACTACATGAGAGTCCAGCGACATAGCCATTACACTAACTGCTGGTCCCAGCGGATGACATGGTTGTTAAGGTGCTGAAATTCCCACATGGGCTACCGCAGTTCAAGTCCTGGACCTGGCAGCTTGCTTTCTAACTCTCCCTCTCTCCCTCTGTCTTTCTCTAGCAAAACTCATGTGAAATAATTCTTTAAAAAACAAAACAAACAAACAAAAACCCTCAGGGTTTGTGTGCATGCTAGCTCAAGATCCCGAGAGGAGAAGGGATTGCTGTGTGGCCATCCCTCCTGGGGGGTGATTTCTCGCCTTCTGTCTCTCTGGCTGGCTGGCTGGCAACCGCACACATCCTATGGCAAAAATTGCTCTCTAAAAGAAAAAAAAAATTACTACTTTCTGGGTCAGCTGTTGGCATAGTAGTTACAGTGGTGGACTCTCACATGGCCGATACAGTTTGATTCCCGGACCTGGTGACTTGAAAGTCATGCTAGGCACATGGGTGTGAATCTCCAAAATCCTGAGGAGAAAGGATTACTCTGTGACCACCCCCCAGGGAATGATTTCTCACTTCTTAACTTTTTTTTTTTAAGAGAGATTTTTGTTATAGAGCACATGTGCTTACCAGAGAGATGGAAACCAAAAAATCACCCCCCAGGGAGGATGACCACGCTGCAATCCCTTCTCTATTTTCCTCTAGGTGGAATGCAAGCACATGTGCCTGGCATGAGTTTTTCTGTTTTATTTTTTTTCTTTTTTTGGAGAGGTTTTTGTTATAGGGCACATGCGCTCGCCAGAAAGACAGAGACAGAGAGACAGAAAGAGAGAAATCACCGGCAGGGGGGATGACCACACCACAATCCCTTCTCCATTCTCCTCTCAGGATCTTGGGTGCGCACACACAAGCGCTGGGCGTGAGTTTAAGTCACTGGGTCCGAGACTCGAACCGTGGTTGACTACATGGGAGTCCAGCAACATAGCCATTATGCCAACTGCTGGTCCCCCTGGCATGAGTTTTAAAGCCACTGCAGTCCACCACAGTCGACTACATGGGAATCCCGTGATGTAACCATTACGCCATCTGTTGGTCACTTCTTTCCTTCTCACTGTTTCTATCAGCCTGTACTCTATGGCAAAACATTAAAAAAAAAAAAAATTAGTGGTACCAACAAATGGCATAGCAGTTAAACTCCCACAAGGCCAACTGTGGTTCAATCCTGGGACCTGGTGGCTTGAAAATAACACCAGGCACATGTGTGAGTATACCTGAGATCCTGGGAGGAGAATGAAGGAGAAAGGATTTCAGCGTGGCCATCCCCCTTGGGGAGTAATTTCTCACTTTTCTCTCTCACTGTGTCTATCTCTGTCTGCCACAACCTGCTAGCACACATGCCCTAAGGTAAAAACTAATATTTTTTTAAAAATAGCACTTTAGGGTCACCAGGTGGTGTAATGATTAAGATGCTGGATTCCCACATGGCCAGTTATGATTCAAGTCCCAGATCCAGTGGCTTGAAAATCACAACAAATAAATAGATCATAAATTATATCTATCTATCTATATATATATATATATATAGAGAGAGAGAGAGAGAGAGATTTTTTTTTCTTTTCCATTTTCTGCATTACCTCAAGGACCAAATTCAAATACCATTCACTTCCTTATGTGACCTTGGACAAGTTCTGTACCTTGTTTTTCTCATCCGTAAAATGGGGAAGTAGAACCAACTCCTTGGAGTTGCTTTGGAGAGTTAATTCATGTAAAACAAAACGGTGTTGAGCCTGTCACACAGCTCCCAATGCTGACCATTATTACAGCTTTGTGAATTTGAACTACGGGCTGTATCAGTCCTGGTTGTATTTCTCATCCATTCAGCAATTATTATATCCAGGTTCCAGCTGTTTAAGGGAAACTTGATCCCTCATGGTGACAGCAATTCAAATCCCAAGCCGACCAGTCAGCCTGAAACAGCCAGGCACGTGTGCAAGTGTCCAAGATCCAAAGGGCTGGAGGACTGGAGGAAGATGCTGATCTCTCCATCTTTCTCGAACTCTCCCTCTGTCTTTCTCTCACTCTCATTTGCATGTTCACATGCTTTGTCATGAATAAAGGGGGAAATAAAATAAAGGGGAAAAACAATTACTTTGTCAGTGTTTGCATGTGTCCAGCATCATTCTAGGCTCGAGAGAAATAAATGTTAAAGCGAATTCCACCAATGGACTGGAGCTGGGAAGGATTGCCTGGAATAGTTGATTTAGGCAAGCATCAGATCTACAGTTGTTGTGAGCTAACTTCCCGAGAGGTCTCATTGGTGGGTGGAGCTGACTTTGAAGACCAGAAAGGCTCCTCCCAGGGGTGGGGAATCCTGGCTGCGGGGTGTGAGCACCAAAGGGCAGGGATTTTGCTGAAATGAAAGTGGAAGCAAAGTGCCTTCCTGCACAGCCTTCGGAGCTGCTGAAACTGCAGGAGACAAAATCTCCTCAGAGGGTACAAGCCAGAGTTTACTGTGGTGGACTCTGGCACTAGTATCCAGCCCTGAAGCCTGGCCTCTTGCCAAATGGACTCCATGAAAGTGACCTCCGATGTTGTAAGTAAGGAGGGTGTTGGGATGGGGAGAAACTGAGGAGAAGTCTTGGCTAGGAACCTGCAGGCATCTCAGGGCCCCGTAGCCATGCCTCTCCCTGCTGATCTCTCAGACCTGCCAAAGAACTGGGGAGAAACATGGGCTAGATTACCTCTCCGCTCTGCGCTGGTCCCCTAACCTATGGCCTCAAAGCAGAAGTCTCTCACAAACTTACACCACAGGGTCTTGTGAACTCCCTGGGTGAATGTGTGTTTTTCTTTTTTTTTTTTGAGACAGAGAGAGACAGAGAGATAGAAAGCGAGAAATCACCCCCCAGGGGGGTGGCCACACTGCAATCCCTTCTCCTCCATTCTCCTCTTGGGATCTTGGGCACGCACGCACACGCACCCGGTGTGAGTTTAAGCCGCCCGGGTCCAGGACTTGAACCGCGGTCGACTACATGGGAGTCCAGCAACATAGCCATTACGCTAACTGCTGGTCCCGAATGTGTGTTTTTCTGAAGAGAGAATCATAGTTTGCATTAAATACTTAAGGGATTTTGTCACCCAAGTAAAAATCTCTTTAGTAACACATCCACCCACTAACATGCCCTTCTCATTTTTTTTTTAAGGTTTTTGCTGTAGAATATGTGGGCTTGCCAGAGACAGAGAAAGAGAGAGGGCAAGAGAAATCACCCCCCAGGGGGATGACCACGCCACAATCCCTTCTCCATTTTCGGGATTTTGGACATGCATGTACATATGCCTGAGTGCGATTTTCAAGCTATAGGATCCAGGACTTGAACTGTGGTTGGCCATGTTGGTGTCCAGCATTTTAACCACCACACCACCTGCTGGGCTCCCCCTCAAATTCGTCCTCTCCTCTTCCCATCACAACTTAATCTTGGACCTTGTCAAAAGACAAAATTATCAGGAGCAGCAGGTGGCATAGTTGTTAAGGTGCTGGACTTCCACATGGCCAACCACAGTTCAAGTCCCAGACCCAGCAGCTTGAAATTCACACCAGATGCATGTGTGTGCATGCCGAAAGTCCCAAGAGGAGACTGAAGGAGAAGAAATTGCACCATAACCATCCCCCAGGGGGTTGTTTTCTTTCTTTCTTTCTTTCTTTCTTTCTTTCTTTTTTTTTTTTTTGAGAGGTTTTCGCTATAGGGCGCATGCGCTCGCCAGACAGACAGAGACATAGAGACAGAAAGCGAGAAATCACCTCCCAGGGGGGATGGTCACGCCACAATCCCTCCTCCTCCACTCTCCTCTCGGGATCTTGGGTACTCACGCACACGCGCCCGGCGTGAGTTTTAAGCCACCGGGTCTGGGACGTGAACCGCGGTCAACTATGTGGGAGTC